TTTTTTCGTTTTTCTCCGGTACCGGGAACCGAACTCACGACCTTGCACTTGCCAGGCAGGCGCTTTTGCCACTGAGCTAAATCCCCAGCCCCCATTTCTGCTTTTTATTGCTTGGGTTGGGCAACGTTATGTGTGGAAAATGACAGTCTCATCATCATCTTAGTTTGAGATGCTTCAAATAGAAACTCTTGATGGAAGAAAAATTTGTTGAAAGTTCTTCAGTACAGTCTCTCGGACAGCATGGTTCCTGGTGTGAAACTATTATATTTTTGTCACTCACAGATGAATACAAGTTCTATTAACGATTCTTCCAAGACTTAGGATTCAACAGTCTCAGTTTTGCTCAGGGGTTAAGCCTAATTCTGGGTGTACAGTACCTTGCAGATGGACTTGAGTTGAGTTTGCCATTGAGGGTCATGTAACTTCAGAGCTAAGTGGGATTGCAAATGCAAGGCATCTTGAAGGCAGAGCCAATCAAATTTTGTGTTTATCTCATCCACTCTTCAAATCTGACCCTGTCAGCAGCAAGTTAGTCATCATGAATCCCATCGGAGATGGTCAGAGGGCAGTGACACCTTCTGGACATTAGCAATTGGAGTAGTGAGCTGTGAAATCTTTCTGTGAATGTTCCTGCTTAGTGAAAGCCTGTGAATAACTGAAGAGCAGCCACTTAGATTTAGGTCTCTAAGTCTTAGTTATTGATGGATACTTAACAGAAATGAGTTTTAAATGAATAAAAGCATTCTGGATATCCAAAGAGCTTCTGAGCAAATTATTGCAGTGTTCATTTAGAATTGTGAAAACTTAAGAGTGAGGCTTAGTCAGTTCGTTATTGTAGCCTGTTAATAATAGAACCTTATTTCTCACAGTTCTAGAGTCTGGGAAGTCCAAGACCAGGGCAGCAGCAGCTTTGGTGTCTGGTGAGGGCCCACTTTCTGATTCACAGATGGTGCCTTCTAGCTGTGTCCTTAAAAGGCGGAAGTAGCAAGGCTGCTGTGTGAGGCCTCTCGAATAAGTGAGGGCTCTGCCTCAGGACCTGATCATCTGCCAAAGACCCCACCTCCTAACGCTATGGCATTCTGGGTTAGAGCTTCAGTGTACAAAATTTCAAGGGACAGAAACATTTAGACTATAGCAGAGGCTTATGAAGGACAACTTAAGATGAGAAGGTGATACATTTATTGTGTTTAAGAGTTTGCTGTCTCACTGCGTGTTTCTCTGAGGACCTGCTAATACATGTTATCAGTTATCACCATAGAGACCAATACTACACCTTCGTGGCCCATGCTGGTGTCTGTTTTTGCGTTCATACTTGTTTGTTGATTGTTAGTGGCTGTTATATCAAAATTAGTCACATCTAGGTTGCCTCCATCTAATTCAGGATGGAAAGATGACTGTCCAATTTACATATAGACAGTCCTATGATAGTAAAGTGATTGATTTATCTAATTGCAAAAAGAAATCTTGCTTTTTTATAGAAACTTTTTGAACTCAGAGGAGTATAACAAAGAAAACTAAAATTATCAATAAACCTCACAGAGATTACACTAGTTTCGGTTTTTTGGTCTTTCATGAAATCTTTTAATGTATAAGTGTTTTCATTTATATGTAACAATATACGATAATTTAAATATCTACATTAAAATTAAGTTATGCATAAGTTTGTACTTCTGTTTTAAGATACTATTATTCAATGTGTTAAACATTCCTATTATTTAACATTCTTAGGACAGATAATTTTTGCAATTGTTTTATAATCTTTTATAAGCTGCCAAATGCTTCCTTAAAAATGTGAGCCAAATTTTATTATTTATAATTTTCATTTTATTCATCCTCAACTCAAATTACTCTCATAAAAGTTAACTATTTTTCTACTTAATAGTAGAAAATATTATTAGTTTTGTTACTGAAGATAATCTTGTACATAAAATATTATTTAAAATTTTAGAATAAATTTTATAAGACTCAAAGGGCAAGCTACTCATAAGTTTGTCAAAATAGGAAAAATGTCTAAAATTATATAATAAGAGAATGACCTGTGTAAACTTCAGATTTTTAGTGAAGTTTTACGCATGTGTAAAGGGGGGAAAGAATCTATTTAATAATATGTAAAATTCAATGACTGAACAATGGCAATTATATAAAAATTCAAAAATTGCTCATTGACTCTGAAATACTAACATTTAACTTACTGATGCATGAAATTTAGATTACAATATGTTGTTTTTAAGATGTGAGAAATCAAAGTATTGAAGATTTAAAGACTTATTTTCATTGTGAGTGTTATGGAAAGCCTAAGTTGTTATCATTTAACTCAGGATGAAGTATTTTGCTTTAAAGCAACTCATCTGCAAATATTAAAAAAAAAAAGCTTTATATAGAAATCAAAAGTAGCGTTGAGACTAATACCTCACATTTGCATTATCTCTTGTTTTTCTCTCCAGGACATCCAGGCGGAAATTGATGCCCATAATGACATATTTAAGAGCATTGATGGAAACAGGCAGAAGATGGTAAAAGCCCTGGGGAATTCTGAGGAGGCTACTATGCTTCAACATCGACTGGATGATATGAACCAAAGATGGAATGACTTGAAAGCAAAATCTGCCAGCATCAGGTCAGAACAGCCAACATCTAACTAAAAAATAAGGGGGCGGGGCTGGGGATTTAGCTCAGTGGCACAGCGCCTGCCTGGCAAGCGTGAGGTTGTCAGTTCAATTCCCGGTACCGGGGGGAAAAAAAAAAATTAAACGTTTGGGCCGGGGATACAGCTCAGTGGCATAAGCGCCTGTCTGGCAAGCACAAGGTACTGAGTTTGATTCCCGGTACGCCCTCCCCCTCCAAAAAAATGGGGGCGGCAAATTGTCATGATTTCTGTATATTAGGAAGAGCAAGAGCAGGATACCACCAATGCTGCTCTTTCAAAATACTTAAGATTTAAATGCAAACTCTATTTTCTTGGTTATATGTTTGGCCCCACTCATCTTTGTGCCCTCTGCCTCTCGTTCCTGACTGTTCACAGATGTCCATGTCATATTTTAAACTAGGTAACATTCCTAATAATAATGCTACCAACATCTGCTCATGTCTGAGTTTTTACCTTTACCAAGGACTGTGTTAAGGTGTTTGCAAAAATTAATTAGTACATTCATACACTGCATGGCAAGATTTCTATCGGTGACCCAGTACATATATAGTGGGTGGCCCCACAGAAATATATTGCCGAGTGATGTCATAGCCATCTTAGTTTGTATGAGTCCATTCTGTGATGTTTGCACAATGACACAAGTGCCTAATGATATGTTTCTCAGATTGTACCCTTTCTGGAAAAGCCTAGTAAAGTAGATTGTAAAAATCCTTTCTTAAATGAGGAAACAAGAGATTTAATGAATATGAGGAATTTGCCAAGTTTTTTAGCTAGTAAATGCTGAGCAAGGATTATGGTCTAGATCTTTTGACTCTGGCTTTGAACATGTTCTTTTTTTCATCTTTTTTAAAATTTTTTTTGGTGGTACTGGGGATCGAACCTGGGGCCTTGTACGTGCAAGGCAAGAGCTCTACCACTAAGCCACATCCCCAGCCCTTTGAACATGTTCTTGGTTCATCATGTTGTATTTTTTTTTTTTTATCAACTTGAAGATATATTTAAAGAGAATAAAAATTTCTTATTGACACTAAAATGGAGAATTGATGATGCATATCTGCATTTAGAAAGAATAGTATTAAATAAGTATGAACTTTAGGACCAGAATTCTGACTAGGGAAAACCCTGAAAAATTATCCAGCCTGATAGAATGTTTAGTATTAATGGGGGTCAAGAATATTTTAACAGTTGGTAGACAGTTTCTAACTAGGTCTAAGTTTATGGGAAACTGACTGAAAAATGTTATTAAGCAGAAATTTAAAGAGGAATGTGAACAGGAAGTGATAGGTCAGTTTCCCCTGCTGTATCATTGAGAAATGCATCCACAGCCTTAACAACAGATGCTCTTGAACTCGATTCTTTGACTTCGCTATTAATTCTCTGATTTTAGGCAAATTGCTTAGTAATTTGTACCTTAAAATATCAGAATATACATATTTAACCCATATGATTATTGCAAAAATGGAAGGGGAAGATTCGATAGGACATTAATCTCGGTGGAGTCTGCCTAATAATCTGCCAGTCTCTATAGCATCTAATTCACCTTTTCATACATAAGTTTTGTTCAGATGTCTTTGAGATTTCTTCCAATAACTTCACAGAGAGTAGGAATCTTCAATGGTTATTTATTATATACGCATTCCTTAAAAGTTTCTGATAAGATGTCCTGAAGACTTCTGTTCTTTGGGGGTTCATACAGGTGGATTTGTAGTGCTTCTTATACTTAAGGAAGAGGGTAATGTACCACGGTCTGGACTCCTCTGTCCAGAGATTCCACTGGAAGTGATGTCAACATCAGCAAATTGTACTTTTTAAATAGGAAAATAATTAGAGGGCATTGTACACTGAGAAACTCCACTTGAGTAAGACTTTAATTTTCATCTGGCAAGATCTCATGGGGTTGCAACTTTCTGTTCCTCATAAATATAAACAAATAAAAATGTTTAAAACATCACAGTGAAAAGTACTCGTTGAGGATCTAGCGAAACAGAGATCTAAGCTCTGGTGAAGAGCCATAGGACCGGCTCTGGTGAAGATTGTATGCAAGGTCGTGGGATATTGAGAGTTTAGAGGGTGACTTCTTCAGGCACAGGGTTTTATAAAGGCCTACATGAAACACAGATCATTCCAAGTGGAAAGCTACAGAAAAAAAGTATTGGGGCTTTCTTGGGAGTTTCTCCCTGTACCTATAAAATCACATTCATTTTTGCTAACCTGAAAAACAAGAATTCATATGCTCCAATTAGAATAATATTTAGTAAACAAGTCAATAGTAATTTTAGAAGATAGAGTATGTGTTTGTGTCCGTAGACTTCTGCACAAAGACAGCATACATTCTGGTAATATATAATAATGAATCAGTGTGATCGTGAATCAAAATCATCACGTCATATATAGCCTACCTCAGGAGATTTACATATGCCTTCAAGCATTTAATGGAAGCTTAGTTCTATGTTTAAGGCATTGCTAGTTACAAACAAGTGAGGATCCATGCCCCTAAGGGCTCACAGACTGGTTTAAGTGAAGATAGAGCCCGTCGGAGAGAGTGGTAACTTTCACTTCAGATCATAATTAGAGCCCTCATGAAAGAGGTGATTCGTAAGCAGAGCCTTGGAAGGTGCAGTGCTCCTCCTCAGACTGAGTCAGAATGGGGAAGGGCATCTGTGCAAGAGGTTTAATATAATACTCTTTTCGTGAAAGTTAGCAAGTTCATTGTTGCTGAGAATAGGCTTGCTGGTGGGTGTGGAAGAGGCTGCAGCTAGAATAAAGGTGAAGAGAGAGGCAAGGTACAAATGACGGAGCCCCTGTGTCTACCGTTCTCCATTCCACTGGTGATAGAATTTGAAACTGTTCGGGCAACACAATTCTGTCTGAACTTTGGAAAGATCTTATGACCAGGGAGCATGCATTGCATGAGCCCGCTTCTAAAGCCAGGAAGACCTGCTAAGTGATCCTTTCAGCTTCTAAGAAAAGGAAGAGAAATTGGATGAACTCAGTTTGCCCTGTGGAGGTACTCATAAGATGTCCAGGAGCAGGGAGAAGTAGCCACTGGGTGGATATGTGCTTTCGAAAGAGAGATGTTGGTGTGGAGGGGAGGTTACCATTGTGAGGTAACCATTCAAAAGGGTGAAACATGAGCAGCAGGCAAAGCACAGAAGCTGGAGGATCCTTGATACGTAAGGAACAGGTGATGGAAAGGGGAGGCTAGCATAGGCAACTGAGAAGTGGCCATCCTTGAAGAGGAAAGAGAACCAAAAGAGAGGAGGTTGTCAGGAGCCAAGGAAGGAAGGAGCTTAGTGGGAAGGAAATCAGTCATAGTATCAGCTGCTGGAAGAAGGAAAGAGGATCAGGATTATATAATCCAGGAGAATTAAAAGGGTTTTTGCCAGAGGCAGGTATGGTAGCACGTGCCTCTAATCCTAGCTACTTGGGAGGCAGAGGTAGGAGGATTGTGCGTTCAAGGGTAGCTGGGCAACTTAGCAAGACCCTGTCTTAAAATAAAAATTAAAAAGGGCTGGAGATGTAGCTCAGGGCGAAGGCGTTGGGTTCTATCCACAGGCTTTTTTGGGGGGTGGGGGGCAGGGGTGGAAGGCAGTTGTACAGGGTAGTGTTCAGTGGTGTTGCAGTCTAGAGCTAGGCTGACCACTGTCAAACACTGGCTTTGCCACTTAGCACGTGCCACACCGGGCAGATTACTGCACCCATATATGCCTCTACTTCCTCATGTGTCAATTCAGAATACCCTCCTTCTAGGGCTGACCTGATGATCTCATGTAAAGGGCTTACAACAGCGGTGCGTGCTAAGGGCTCTACAATTGGTAGCTATTATTATTTTCATGGATTGCCACTTTGTTTGGCACTCATTAATTCAAATACAGAAACTCACCCTACCCTTTTTTTTATCTTATTCACAAATGTTGGGAATTTTGGGGAAGATCCTCAGTCAGTTGTGTCTATTTTTCCCGGCAGGAGTCTGAACAAGTACGGAACAGAAGTAGGCTCCACATCACCAGAACTGTAATGCTGGGAAATTCCTGCCAGAGGCCAGGCTGGAGGAGATAGTGGGGCTCAGTGGGGCTGTTCACTGAACTGAACCCCACAATGACACAGAATTCCTAGCAGTCTCTGATCAAGGGGGCTTCCCAAGAGGGCCCCCACATAGAACAGTGTTTTGAAGGTCTATTATGTCCAGATTCTCCTGTGTCTGTAATATTTCTGTAAACTCTCCCCCCACTTTCTTCTATAATTAATTTAAAGTTGCCTTTTCCCTAATTGCCTGCTTTACTTGAAACATTCCTTAATAGAGATTAATGTCACTGCTTTCCTCGCTTAGAGGCCAATGGGAATCCTCTGAATAATTATCACTGCATCTCTGTCTCTCAACATCGTTTCTTTAGATGTGAAACATCCATTATCCCACCCTTCCTCATCTTATCCTTGCTTCCTCCTAACCCATCGGAGATGCTGGGTGTGTCTGCTTGACCTGAACGCCCTTTTACCTTCCTATTCATCATCCCTTTCCTTAGCTATCACTCCTGTTGTCAATGCCTAGACTGGCAGCTTCTTTTTTTTTTTCCTTTGGTTTTTCTCCAGTACCGGGAGTTGAACTCACGACCTTGTGCTTGCCAGGCAGGCACTTTGCCGCTGAGCTAAATCCCCAGCCCCTAGCTTCTTGTATTTTACTTCCCAAGTTTCTTTTTATTTCACATGTAATGTCCGTTATCCCAAAGTCCCACAGACTCAGTCATCCTGGGGCTCAGGCAGTGACCCCTGTGATCTTGGTGCCCCTGAGGTGATCAGTCTCTAGGAGGTGAAGAGCACATGTTTTCTTGGGCTCCATTCCACCTGGTCTGAATGTGAACTTCCAGTGTATCAAATCAGAATTGTGTACGCAACATCAGTGAAGCCACTCGCCTTCATATTAAGGTTATGGGCCCTTTCTTCCATTGCCTGCTCTCTTCTTGGACCACCAA